GCAATGCAAATCATATGACCACTATAATGCCAGAGGCTTAATTTTGATCACCTTGCATCTTTCACCTATTTATACAAGAGGCGTAATATAACAAACGATTATTAGGACCCCTTGAGGTTCATTTGACGGTCATAATCATATCGTTATACACTCGTTTAATTTTTCATGAACGCCCCTCAGTTATCAATTATAAAATAAAATATTTTAAAACTGTTAAATCATGTTTTACCAAGAATCGATAGATTTTATTAATTTAATAGAACTTAAGTTTTATACAATCGTAACCATATCATCCAAGGAATTTCTCTGTCTGTTATACAAGTATAAATAACAAAAAGTAGAGTTCCATTAAACTCTTTTTATTTTATTTACTACCAATAATATTAATAGCTAAATAAAAAATCTCTTGCATTCTTAAGCTATGTGTCATAGGTAATGTTAATTATATGATTTTTGTAGCGTGTCTGAATGACTGGTTTCACAAAGCCATAGAGCTAACTAGATGTATTGCCGAATTGTACCACAATTATTATGCAAAATACCACCATCACACATTCGTCAGTAATGATTTTTACTTCTTTGTGCAATTAACAGCGGGAATACATTAATGATATCATTAAAAACATAAAAGAAATAACGAGATGCGAGTATTATTTTATTGCGTTGACTGTGGATAAGATTTAAGAATTATAACTTTACAATAATTTATTCAATACTAATTTTATAGGATCTCTAGTGATGAATATGCAGTACCTTAAAGTATATGAAATGATATCTTATTTAAAAATTTTTTAACTAACTCTAAACATTGGTTTAGAATAAATTCCTACATACTTTACTCTAGAACTAATTTAAAAATGATTACTTGGATAATATATAATTTGTTTTTATTTAGAGGAGGTAGTAAAAATATGTCATATATATCATACCACCATGAAGAAACCTTAATAACACGAATGACTTTAAACATTGAAGAATTCTAGTATTTTAGACAGTTAAAAATTTGATCAACGACATGTATTTAAATGATGACACATTTATAATAATCTAAGGATTATTATGAACGTAAAAATATTCAAACGAATTAGAAAATCATTAGTAGGTTATATTAAATAAATGAATATAACGATAATGATGTAGATGACTGATGGGTTTACTTGAATATCATATATATAAAAAAATTTTATTTTCACGTAACTACAAAAATATTGTTATGGAATTGTTTTACTGTACATAGTAGCGATTGGACAAGAGGGATGTACAACCCTTAGGGACTCTAAAGCAGATACACCTGTTATTTTCTACAGTAGCGGTGACCTATTATATTTTATTTGGCCGTATTATACTACCCGCAGAGAATACAGTCGAAAAATTACTTTTCGCCTGTTAGCTATACAATTTTTTTAGTAGCCTCAAGATATATAGAAAAAATTACAATTTATAATATTATTTCTATTATTTATTATTGGATTTACTCTGTCGTGTCCACATAGATTAATATTTCCTTTCCTACTGGGACGATTTTGTTCAACGATACATTAAAAAATCACAAAACGTTCATAGATAAACTATCAGCATCATAATTTTGGAAAAACTCCACTCAATCTCAGTAATAAAGAGAAATTTCTTAAAAAACTACAGTTTTATGACATCTATAAAAAAATTATCCAAAATCTCTAATTATATGAGTAAATAGACATTATAGTAAAAACTCATACAAATCTGTTAAAATGAACAATTAATATTTTTAATGTTAGTTTTTTTTTTAGAGTATATTACAAACACGCATGTTTGCCTAAAACGCTAGAAATGACATTTAAAGTTTATACAGTAATTATAGTAATTACTGATTGTAACTAATATTATTTTTTTATTATGCTAAAAATTCAGTTTTTAACAGAATAAAAATAAATAAAAAATTTCACTATTTTAAATTAATGATTTAAGAAATGTTTCCATATAGATTTATCGTATTACACATTGCAGACCATGCTGAAAATATATAAGCCACTATTATAAAACAACTTTTATATCACTAGAATATAATCATGTATGAGAAGTAGTTTTTTAAGTGTTTTAAAGATCATTTTATATTGATTACAAAGGTAAAAAAAATATTTTTTATTTTTAAAATCTGAGACAACAAGTGTTTTGAAGAAGAAAAATTAAAATAGTCAAAAATATTTTTAGACCTCTAAAATAAATATATGGAATATAAGATTTAAAAAAATGTTAATTATTTGGTCATAATATAATTTTTCCAATTAAATTGTTTTTTAATTATTATATGTTGATAAAGTAATTTATTGAATTTCATTTATTTCAAGACAACACAGGCCATTGAGGACACCATAGATTAAAAAAACACGTTTCTCTTTAGAATAAAATATAAGTTCTCAAACACATAAAGAAGGTTTACTTACATTATATAATTAATTTAAAACAAAAGTTTAAATCTTAATAGTTATTTCGACTTAAAAAAAAAAATTGTTTACTATTTTTTTTTAATAGACATAATCATTATAAAAAATTTTCGCATAAAACTGACAGTAATAGCGAAATTTAAAAAAATAAATAAAAGATTATAAAAAAATGATGATATAATAAGTGCGTGCATGATGAAATAAATAGTATAATCCATACTGGTATAATATCTTACTATACTGGATAGTTATGAAAATTTTAATAAATGTCACTCGTAATCCTAAGAAATGATTCAGTTAAAAAAATTTATATTGAAATATTAGTTTTTAATTATTACAAAATATCTATAAAATACACTTCTATTAACGTATAAGTCTCTCATCTCATTTTATTTAATGCGAAATTATTTCTATTATTTATCAAGACGGGTAAGAATAATCTACTCAATAAATTTTAAAGCACTATCTTTAATAATATTCTATTTTATTTAATAACAAATTTATTTATCTAAAAAACTTAGAATTTTTTCATGCTTTATGTGAAAATTAAAAAAAAAATCAAAATTATACAAGTATTAGAAGTTTTTCATGTATGCAATGTAAGAGAACATCTGAAAAAAATAGTAATAAAAAACTTAATATTTGTTTATGAATTTTCGATATGATGTATCAAAGTTAAACTACCTATGTGAAAAATTAACGTGTATATTACAAATATCATACTGTCATATGGGAATTTGTGGGTCATTTCTTATAGTAAATGTAAAGTGTTACTAAAATTTGTATTCACTTTTTTTTTTAATTTTAATAATTTGAAATACTCTTAAAATGTGTTAAATAACGAGTACAAAGGTGATATTTACTCTACATATAAATCAAAATAAATTTAGTTCTGAAAGATAGACCACTAAAATGATACAAATCTTTAATTATAAAGATTATATATAGTTTAGTATAGTAACAACTATAGTGAGTAATATAATCAAAACATACTTATGAAGTTACATTTCAGTATCCTATTTCAGAGATTTAAATTTGAAATGAATTTTGATATTTTGCCAAAAATTACTCTTGAAATATGTATCATCTTTCAGAATAAATGTTTTGTTCATTAGAAAAATAAAGTAAATATTTCTACGAAAATAATTCAATTTTGCACTCACATATTAAATGAAAGGTTAAAAAATGATTTTTGTTTTTAATTGATTTTTGTTAATATTCATTGAAAATTATTTTATAAGAGTATTACTTATTATCAGTTAAATTGCTAATTGAAAACTGTTTATATCAAATATGATAAGATATACGAATTTATTGATTCTTATAATAACGTTTCTCTGGGACATGTTTTTTATGATACAGTTGGTAAATAGAATATAATATAACTTACTTTAAAAATGTATTTATTTTTTTAATTATACTTTAAACATGAATTTATAACAAAATTTTTGTTAGTAAGATAATAATTGTTTAAAATTGAAAATTCATTTTAACATAAGTATATTTCATACAGAAAAATTATCAAATTAAAAAATAATTAATCATAAACAATTAAAAAATAATAAAAATCGTTATCATAAGGCTATTTATACATTTTATGTATTAATAGGCAATTTTTGAGTTAACCATAAATTGTTAAAATTGAATTATTAAAAAAAAACCCTTCAGTTTTTATTTGTTATAAAATTCTTAGCATGTTTATATTTAAACAAACAAAATTTTAAGTTTTTAGCAATAATTAAAAAAAAATTTTATAGCATCGACTATTTTTAAACATCATGTATTAATTATAATTTATAGTTAATAGTTAATGTTTACTATTTTACTTAATACCTAAATATTATTATAATGATTAAAATAATGCAAACAGCGCTATTAACTTTATAATTATAAGAAAATAGAAATAATATCATCTTACAGCGAAAATAAATTACCTACCTTGATGAATAATTTCCAATAGGGTCTTGTTTCTGAACGAAAATATCCAGTAATTTCAAGAACTGACAACGTATAACAACTCAAGCGAACGAAAACACACGTACTGACCATGTGCTGATAGTTGTCTGATACTGTTGTGGTAAATCATTACTATCGATAGTGAAAAAACTCGATTATCGTGTCAGCTCTTTCGAATCGATAAAAATAAAAAATAATCAATAATTCATTTAATTTTTTTTATTCATTTAAATTTAATTATTATATTAATAGAAATTTTACTACTTAATTATTAAATATTTTTAAATACACCTAAGGAAAGATTTTTTAAGTACTCTATGAGAAATTAAAATTTATTTATAATATTTTTATTAGTTATAAGCAAATACCAGGTATATAACATTTGAGATAAAGAGGATAAATTTATTTTAATTTCTATTTACAGAAATATTGAACAATATTAATATAAAAATCTTAAATAACGTTTTTAATTCAGGCATATAGTAAGAAAATTTTCTTTGGAGGTAATTAACAATATTGGGTCCTTATATGATTTTACAGGAATAACTGATTGGTCTAGAATATTTTTAGCAATTTGGTAAATAATAAATTATTTATTACGTACTTTAATTAATATTTTTATTCTTGCGCAATATATATATATTTTATCTCCTTGATGGATTATTGACCAGTTCTCTACATAATTCTGAAGACTATTTTATAGAAACAAATTTTTTTTACCTTTAGTATTTTTTATATCACTGATAATAAACATTAGTATTTTCAATGATACTATTAATGTTCGAAGATTTTATATTTTAAGTATGTGTTTCCAAAGCCAATAGTGTATTAAGATGGTCAATAACGCAAGGCAAAAATTTGTAGCTGCCCTGCTCGCACCAAAATGTAATTTTGAATTGAGTTATAGTAAAATTGTAATGATAACTGTATTATTCTATGATAAAAAATTATGCTAGGTATAGAAATAAATGTATACTTGTAAATAAATATTAAGTTAATTTTTTTTATTTTTATTTGAACTTCGCTGTTATTATTGAAACCTTCATTCTTTGGAACAAAAAATCGTATGAGTTCACCTTCAATTCTAGATCAGTCAAGGTCGCTTAATACATTGGTTGATTTTTATATATTGATACAAATTATTTTTAAATACATTTTATGTTAACTAAGTATTATAATTGTACAATTAAAAATTAATGTTATTTTATTTTTAATAATTAAATAGTGCTGATTTTGACGGTTCTTCTGCAAAGATCGAACCGCAAGCTTTAACTTTGACCATTGGCGTAATACTATAGTCCATTGTTATGGCTAATCCTCTTCCCAGAATATTAGTTGGATGTCCTGGTATTAAAGATATTCGATCAAGACTAAATACAAAATCAGCAATATTGTCGTTGTTAGAATGAACATAACCTAGTTCACCCAGTGGTCTATTCATCATAGACAAACTATAATCTGGACTCTGTCGAACGAAAATAAAACTCGTATTAACTTTTAATACCGAAAAGCCGAATTACTTATATTACTTAATAGTTTCATACTAATTTTTTTTTATTCAACAAAACAATTTTTAAGTAAGATAGCAACTCTATGTTAAGTCATAATAAGAACTTTTTATTGTATCAGTATTAGATTTTATTGTTAATATAAATTTTATCAAAAATATATTTTATTATACCTTTATTTTTATCACTGTAAAAGTTAGTAAAACAACTTACTATGTAGTGTATGTCAAAAATAGGACCAGTTTTTGCACAAGTGTCTGTCATGCTACCAAATTTTGTTATAATCACACCATATTTGCCAGTTGCTAATCCCTTTATTTTTCCAACGATAAAGACTGGAGACTTGATATGTGGTTGATAAAATGTTACTTCGCCTTTAACTGAATCAGAATTTAGTACATGTGCTTTAGCCACCATAGGTTCTATTTGGCGTTTCTGGAAAAAAACAATAATCATTTTTCATATGAAATTAAAAAATGAGTCAACTAAATGCTTAAACTTAATAACATATATTTTTTAATTTCAAAATAATAATAATATTTCTAATTTTTATAAAAATATCTTATGTGAATCAAGCAGTAAACAGCTTAACTCCTCAATATTACAACATGTTCCTCAACATAAATCTCTTTTCTCCAAATTCTCCCCGGGGTTTAATTCTGAACTGAGAAATCTTGTGTTTGAAAAAGCTTGTTCATTATAAATTTAAAAAAACCCCTTCACTTGTTGACTATCGTCATTTTTCATCATGCCGCACACGCTATAAATATCTTTCTAAGCAAAATTTTCGTGTTAATACTGTTAAAGCTAAAAATAACTTTTTCACGTATTTCCTATCCTATTCCTCCAACTTATTATATTGATAACTTTCCTGTTGCATCTGTCCCTTCATAGTTGTTCTTAGATTTCATCTCACTCCGACTTTAAATTTTCGCCTTCATATTGAAGGAACATTTTGTAAGATTCTCAAAACTTTAGGATTTATTCAGAGAATCGCTCATAAATTTCAGTTCTCAAAACCTCTAAAAAGTCTTTAACTCGTTAGTTTGTCCTATTTTCTAATATGGTTCGGTGCTATGGGATCCTTACACAGCTACAGACTCTATGATACTCGAAAGAGTCCACCATAACTTTATGTGCTTTACTGCTCTTATCCTTAATATCCCCCATCCACCTCATGTCTTAACTCCTATTCAAAACTCAATATACTTGTAACTTAATAAGTACTTATTCTAATATTGTTATCGACCAATCAAAATTTTTTGTATGAAAAATAAAAACCATTTTATAAATTGAAAAATTAAAGAAAAGTAAATTTTGTTTATTATTAAAAAATAAGTAATAAATCATATGTTTTTAACGTAGTCCAAAGACGCAAAAATTGTTTAAAAAGAAGTACAATGATATATTTTTTTAATTAGAAGCTATAATAGTTGTCAGTTAGATCTGTTTTACTCTTTATAAAAATAATTTTTTTTTTTATAAAGTTGGTTTTTGCAAAATTAATATTTATTCAAAATTCACTTATTTATTTGGTGGACAATTAAATCTTAAACATATTAAAATGTTATTTCTAATTTAGAATAAACATTTAATAAGTCAAATAAAATCAATAATCCAAATATTGATTTAATATAATTAATTTATATTATAAAAATATGTTTGATAATGTTAAACACAAAATTATCTTACATTAGTACTGAATGGTACCATGTGCATTTGGCTAGTGACATAAGGCAATGGAAATGAAATTTCAGGAGAAATGTAAACAACACTTTCTTTAGTAAGCGACACCATTAATAAAATTACAAAAGAGTATAGTCCATTTGCCATCTGAAAAACATAAAAATATAGTGCATTTAGGCTTTTGATTTGTATAACTAAAGTTAAAATTATTAACGTAAGATGTAAGGTAAATATAGACACACATATATAGTAACCATGTGGCACAGTGTACTCTACGCAAAACTCAAGTTATAATTAATTAATTATAGATGATGTATCTAATAAAAACTAAACACAGTGATTCTTAATTTGTATCCTAAAAGTGGTACGATTAGTTAGTTACTGAGGTTTTGATAGAAATATTATTAAAAGAAAAACATTTAAACTGATTTATCTCAACTTGAAAAATTAACCGTAAAAATAATGATTTGAATTGAAAATAAAATGATAAGAATAAATAATAATAATTCTAAAGTTCTTAAATTATAATTTACTCACGTTTGAGCTTAACTGCAGATCTTGTAAGACTATGACTCTTTCTGGTATAATAGTGATCTATGATAATATATCTTTGGAGGAACTCTTGCATATAATAATAACAGTTATTAAATATAGAGACGTATAATCGGAGTGTATGAACAAATATAGAAAAAATATAGTGCACTTTAGAAAATTATAGTTTTACGAAAAAATTCTTAGAGGGCAAGTATGTAAAGTCAAATGATAATTAAATAAGTATTGCAACAGGATAGTTTGCTATTAGAAGAAAATTTGACCATGGCGTTAATATACTTTTTTCTGTTTTATCATTGAAGCGTAAAAAAATATTACTTAAATTAATTTTTATATATTATGAGTAAATATTGCTTGAAAAATAAATATTTTAATAGATTTAGTCCCTGAAAAATTTGTAGGAGGGGCGCTAGATCCTTTCAAAATTCAAACAACTATTTGACTTGATATAATACAAAAAAAAATTGTTTGTTACTTATAAATACATTTACTTTTAACATAATATACTTTATAAACATATTTTTTTGGCGATTTTAAATCTACAGTTAGATTTTTTCTATTATCTTATTTTTGAGATTACTAATTTGTAAAAATCGAAAAAAATAATATTTATCAATACTTGGTCTATTGAGAGCTGAGAATTTTTATGTAAAGATATAAAAAAAACGCACAGCATCAGCAAAGAATACCTCTTTAGTTTCGCATAGAAACTAAACAAAGAATAAATAAAAAGTTAAAAAATATACTCAATTAAGCGTATTCCAAGTATTAATTATAATTGTTAAATTAAGGAAAAATCCAAAATCATTTGATTTAGAAATTATTATAAAAAAAGTTTAATAAATTAAAAAAGTTTACTAAAAAATAGGCATTATTATAAAATTATAGAAGAACACATAAATAGTGTTTAATTAAACAATCAATAAACAACAAAGTAAAATTATTCAACTTTGAAGTTGAAACCTATTAGAAATTAATGATTTTAATAGTCCATATGGAGAAAATTGGTTAAGCAAATTTTTATTTGATAAAGGGGAAACCATTTTCAAGTTTTTATGGTAATATCTTTAACTAGACACTAGTTGTGATCATTTGATGTATTGTTAAAAAAAATTGGTTAAGTGAGATATAAGAAAAATGAATGATGGACACAAAAAAAACATATCGTAAAATATTTTAATGTGACTAAGAAATTCCTTTTCACAAGAGGAGATTACTTTTTAGTCGTATTTTAAAAATTTTTAACTCTCCCTATGTAATGTAAAATGGTCCGATTTATAAAAATAGTGTGTCGAATAAAATAATTAAACATAAAATGTTAATAAAAAAAATTGAATTGATTATATTGAGGGTATATTTTTCAAAAATTTATAGAAATTTAAAGTTAAAAAAATAAAATCGAAAATATTAACACAAAAATTGCATGTTTTTTTAAATATGGCGATCATTACAATATAACTTACAAATATGAGTTAAAGTTAAATATACTAATTAAAAAATTATTTTAAATATCTTCATCAATCTCACGAGTTACTTGTTAACTGACAATTACTTATCCAAATTTTACTATAAGTACAATGGGTGTATGAATAAAAATATTAGATTTTTTATTTCATTTCCTATTTATGACGTGATGCAATACACCTTGATAGAGATAATAGTATGTAGGTATATCTATAAACAATATTGATCCTTAACAATCGATTTTAAATAAATAATAAAGTGGTGCATAAATTAGTTTGTATATCATTCTATTCTAATGGTAGCAAGGTCGTTACTTGCTTCCATTATAATAGAGTCAAACATGTTCGTGTCTATAATATTTATATTAATAAATAACTATTTTTAATTGTGCCTACTAAATTTTTTAACGAAACGTTTACTAATAAAAACAAGATATCAGTTTTTAATTAATATTTTACTTGAAATTTTAGTCATTTTATGATTCAAACATAAAAAAAAATAAGTTTAAAATAGGAAAAATGAGAAATTTTGAATGAAACATGAATTCTAAGTTGTATTGCCTACTATGATAGACATATTTATTGAAATCTCTAATGTTTATACAATTGTTAAATAATTGAATAATTGTTTAATATTATAAAAATTATATTTTGTATAAAAATTGAGTACTTTTTACTATTATCTCGCGAATGAAAAGTATTGCAATAAAATCACAATAATTATTATTTGTTAAATTATTAATGAAAAGTATAGCTCAATAATTTATAATTTAGCCCTCCAATTTGCTTCTAGCCAATAATCAAACACTTGATAACAATATATTATAAATAAAAGCCATTTTTAAACCAACGTTTATGACTTATTAACATATATATAACTTATGTGCAAAATTAAGGAGGAATGTCGTATAGCCTTCGAACACTTCTATAACTAGGTTTAATTTTAAGGTATCAACAAGAAAGTTTTCTTTAAATTAATTTCAATAATTGAATATTATTTTTTAGTGATCTATTTCTATTTTAAGTAAAAATTGTAATAAATAATATTTATTTTTATATAAGAACATGCTAACGGTAAATGATTTCAGACGATTTATGGAGGAAAGAATATAATGTAAAAATTATAAAATTTAAAAATGACCTTAATTTTTGTTAAGTATGTCATTGATTTAGTCGTAATACGACCCAGACGAGTTACATAAAATTAAAAAAAATAAGTATCAATATTTACAATACGATCAAGGTAAGAAGGCGTGTGTAGTGAAAGGTACAGTGGTGATACATACGTCATGTATCTATCTTGAATTATTTCTATAAAATAATAAAAGTATTATTTTATTAGAGAAGAGCTTGAAGCATGTAAAAATAAAAAGAGAGACGACTTAACCTTGTGAATAATTCAAGGATAGATGTTTATAAATGAACTTACACATACTAATTCTGTTTCATATTAGGTTGGTCCCGCAAGTCTTGATATTAATAGTTCAATAAGTCTTACTGTCGCTTCCGGCAAATCATTTACTTGTATTGAACTAGACAACGAATATTAATTTACATAATATACTGAAAGCCTTGTAAATATAAATATGTAACAGTTAAATATTCAATATTTATAAAATATAGAAATAATGTTATTTATATGATCTCCACTGTTAACATCAGTTCAATTTCAAATTAACTATTCAATTATCTAGTTGGTAAAAAATATTTTATTTAAATAAAAATAGTACATCAATATAGTTATGAAGTTCCAAAATACAATAATTTCACGTAATACTCATTAATTACAGGGGCGTCATTTGGGGAGGGAGAGTCAGAGTGTGCGGTTGCACATTTACCTTAAAAACAGTTCCAATTGACCTACAAAAATAATGCACCAATTTTTATACATCGATTCAAATTTCAAAAACATTGTACTATCATGGTCACATGGGTCAATAAACAAATAATCTGATATCAAATAATTAAGTAAACAAAAATATGTTATACTTAACCATAGATAATCGTACAGGACGCAAGATATTGATGTTCGTAAGAGTTCTTATAAGGACTTTTTTGCCGCGCAGTAACGACAATAATTGATAACGGTAATGAATTAATTAATATAAAATTTAACGATTGCTACGATCACGAAGCTACGTTATATTATATAATATAAAAATAGTAAGTATTATTATAATTTATATTTACTACTTATGTTTATTGTGATTCATAATCTATGGAAAAATTAAATGAAGAATTTTTACTTAAGTAGGTGTTTATATTTTTATATGATGAAATTTCAAAATAGCCAACTTGAAATCTCGCATACACCCCCAGAAATACTGAAATGAAGCCCCTGATTAATTATACTTCATAAATATTTAAAAATACGTGTTTCATTAAATACATTGACATAACTAATTGCAACTAAACAAAATATAATTAAATATAAATTATAAACTCAAATGTATAATTTTGGTGAGGTGCTTAAGGAAAATTGGCCCCAGGAAGTTCATTCTAAGGGTCATATTTTAAAATAACTGTCTTATATATAAAAAAAATATTGATACCTAAAATTGATGTAAATAATTAAAGAACCAATTTTGTTTAATATGTGTTATTAATCTCGTTACACTTACATTTGCTCGAATAATTAACTCTTAAAATTAAAACGAAGGAGTTACTTAGACTACAATATTAACACAAAATATATGTTATGTTGCAGCTGATTTTAATTTAAGGCAAATCACTTTTTTACTTAAAGGTTTATTTTTATTTTATTTGACATTTCATTAGTTTTATTATGATTCATTTTGATGCCATATTATTTTTGTCAATTATAATATTAGTTTAATGAATAATATATTATATGAGGAATGCTAAGCTTGTTAGAGAAATTTATTATCTATGTAAACTCATATTTTATATATTAAAAATACATTTCATTAATTTAATAAATGTGTTTTTAATCCTAAAACACAAAAGAAAAATGACAAACTTTCATGACTGAAAAAAGTTGTCAGACTTACATTCAAACGATTCACACAAAATAGAAACAATAATAATAGTACGTGTTTAAACTTTTCGCTTTCACCGTGATTTAACAGGGTAATATAAGAATAATTTTTATTTTAAATTTGTAACTGTGTTTGAAATCAATCTGATAGATAACATCATAACACGATAAGTCTTCTTCTTTCTCCTCGCCTTAATTCCAACTACTTGGGGTCGGCCACCCTTATCTTAAATTTCTGCTTGACACGATCTCCCACATCCTCTACGCTCACATCAGATTTCCTCATATCGCATTCAATAACATCTCTCCATCTCTTTTTTGGGCTTCCTCTACCTCTTCATCCTTCAACATTCATTGCTACAACTGTTCTTATAGCTTCCGATTCTTCTCTTCTCATAACATGACCAAACCATCTAAGTCTATTTTCTCTCATCTTATCCACGATTGACGCTACACCTATACTCCCTCTTATATGCTCATTTCTTATCCTGTCTTCTCTAGTTACTCCACTCATCCATCTAAGCATTCTCATCTCTGCTACACTCATTTTCTGCTCTACTTTCTTATCAACCGCCCAACACTCTGAACCATACATCATAACTGGTCTCATTACAGTCTTGTAGAATTTACCTTTCAGCCTCATTGGAATTCTTTTATCGCATAAGACACCAGACGCTTGTCTCAACTTCAACCACCCGCATTTAATTCTGTGTCTTACATCCTCGCCAATACCACCGCTCTTATGCATAACTAACCATAACACAATAAGTAATAATCATTATTATTATTATAGTATCTAATTGAGATTACAAATATATTTTGATATGGGATGTTTAAGTAACTTAAAGGTATAAATAAAAAATTCTCAATGCTGAGCAAGCTTTTAAGCACCTACTAAATCCATAAGTGCTTGCCCTGATATAAAAACCCTCATATTTTAATTTATTATTTATAAATTTTAAAATTTATCAAAATATCTATCAATTCAACAATATATATTATTTTTCTCTATACATGTAAATAGCTTACAGTTAAAACTTTAAAGATATATTTCAAAGTTTGAGTATTGACTAAGTTACATTAAGTCGATTTTCTTGATTGAATCTGCAACAATAAATAGATAAGAACAAAATTGTGATTGTATTTTATCCAAATGTCAGAAATCATTAATTTCAATTTGTGATGGTCTTATAGTTAATCACTTATAAATGTTTTAAATTCCTTTTCATCAAAAATTTTACATATATCTAATAACGGAGACAGTGCCTCTTTTAGGATCAGACTCACTACACAGAAGTAATAATCACACTCATGGTAAAATAGTCGTGTGCTAATTCCTTGTTCTGTTCAGTGACAGTAGCTTTGACAAAGACTGTGTTTATATGGCAACCATACTAACTTTCAATTACTGTTAACACCCTCCAAAAACCAACGTTATTTAAATACGCTTTTCCGTTGCAAAGTCTTGAAACGAGAAGTTATTGAAGCTTCCAGACTGCGTTCAATGTCGAAACCGTAAACTCAAGTTCTTGTTGGTATTGAAAGTTATAACCCAAAACTAAGTTATTACACGAAATGCAATATGATCAACGAACTCACTCTTGAGGTTTGTAAACGGGAGAAACTACCTTGAGTATTATTACATTTTAGCTGTTTAATTTTAACTGAATAAAAAATTTACAAACATGAGATCGCGACAATGTAAATCACCCTGAAGTGCACCTTTCGGTAGTTTTTATTAACGGACATGACGATTAAAAAAAATTAAGATGTGCAAAGTTTTTTTTCTTTATTTGTACTTAAAAAACTTATAAACAATAATAAATAAAAATTACTTTATTAAAATTAAAATTAATAGTTGTAATATATTATAGTAATAAGTGAAGTGCCATATAATATTAATGACGAATCAATAAGTAACAAAATGAAAACTTTGAAATTTTCTCATCTTGAAATAGCTTAACATTAAGAGTTACATTTTTTGTAATGTTATAAATTATGTTCCGAATTTCAAAAGTCTATCTTAAGAGGAACTTAGATATGGGGTTCAGAAAAACCGGACGAATTAATGTAAAGATACACTAGAATTTTTAGAACTCGGCCTAGCGCATTGCCGTGCTCCCAGATTTCGAACAAAATAAAAGAATACCTCTTTACTGGTTTTGTTCGACATAATATTGCAACATAGCTCTATCATAACACACGATATAGTTTAATAATTAGGTCTAGAGTTTTATAGTTAAAATTTTTTATATTATAATGTATTGTAGAACATTATTACTACGTCATTCTGCTGCAAAACAACCGGTACATCGTGCATTATTTCTACAGGGGGAAAGGATGAAGAGCTATCAGTTCCCCCTCTGTAAAAAACTATCACCCTTCTTTCACCAAACGAACACCCATCAACAAACAGTCCGCCTACCCGGCGAGCCGTAACGTGTGTGTTCTGTGTACGAGAAAGACCGTTGATGAACAGCTGCTCTTAACTAATATTTTGTATGAATTTTTTTGGAACGCACTCGTTGCACAACCGGGTCCGGCGTGTAACGTGCGTTTCGGTATAAACCGCAGTGTCGTTAGTTTTGTTTCTAATTTTATTTGTTTACAAGTTTTAACGATTATTTTAAAATTATTAAATCGTTCAGTGTTGTTTCATGTATTTTTCAACTTAAAATATTCAAATACTTAAGGTAATTGAGCATTTTATCAGTTTATATTAATAATATTTAAATGTTAATAATATACAAATATAAAAAAACATAAACACTATGTTGGGTTATCTGTAAGCTTTATAAAGAATGGGCAATGTTTTCTAGTGAGAGTAATAACATTAATAATATAATTTTCTTATAACTGCTTGCATATGGTTATTATTGAAAAACTTTTTTACTAGTTAACGACATTTTTTTCCTTAAACAAACCTGTAGCACATACATTTGATAGTTTGACCTAAGGATTCGGATACCTACTCTCACACCAATCTAAAGCAAACTAAATCACTAAGAATAATATCTAGTTATACTGACAATGCAAGATTCCACTATGATCAATATCAAAATCTTAATTTTAAACTGATTTTTCTTTGTTAGTCAATGTTCATAACTATTCAGAGACTTCAGAAGAAGGAATTGCTAGACCCATAAAATTAGTTGTCTAGTTAGCCGAATTACTTATTGATGACTTTTTTTATTATTATTAATATTTTATTATTTATAAAAACAATTTGGGACCAGTTTTTTAGTTTAATCTGGGGGCCTCTAATTATTTGACTATAAATACTAATGAAACACATAAATCTTGACAACAATTTTTAATTAGAAACTAGAGACAAAAATAACACTAATTTACCAATTACTTAGTTAGGTGACAATGATTAATTAACGTATTCAAAGTTATAATGTCTGATTTTTTTTTCTTTTGTTAATATATATCATACTTATTAATCAATGGAAAGGTATTGCCTTACTTGATATGTTGATATCAAATATTTTTGATAAAAATTAATTATTTCATTTGCTCTAAATTATTTTAACAACCATAGTTTTTATAAATTCCTAATAAACTCAATTCGTTTGATACACTGAATTTCCACTGCGTATTTTATTTTAGCCTGACTGATTTCAATAAAACTTTTATCCATCATAAATTATTTATTATTACCTCTTATTATGCAACTTTCTATTCAAAAAGTAACTCAAGTATAACTAAGTGTCTATTTGTTGAAGCTATGTGAAAATTAATATTTATTAAATAATTGAAAGTAGCCGTTTAGATATCTATAAATAAACAACTAAAAAACTACGATATTGTATAAAATTATATTTTTTTCAAAATAAATTTTACGAGTAAACTCAATTTAATATATCTTGGGAAATTTTCATAGCTTGCTAGAAATGTAATAATTTCTCTTATTTTAATAGCGGTCGGTACATAATAGAAGTTTCATAACATTACATGTATCAACTTTATTGTCCATGACTTATCAATGAAAAATATTTTCACCTGCGATCAGACAGCCTAATTGTAAGTGTACAATGTATACTAACATATCCAAAGATAACATATGATATTAAACTGATTTTGGTGGTGATTTTCTGCGACATTGCGCCAACGTAATAGTCTTCTAGCATCATCAATAATTTAAAATTTGTTTCGGTTTCACCTCTCTTATTCTACACTTCTCTTTTTTCTTACTCGTAGCTATTACCCATTGTTATTATATGTTAAATGTAACAACAACGGCTACGTTGTCAATTAAATTTTAATTTCGTGAACAAGTTTTAAACCAATAGTTCTTTAATTTAACAACGCCAGTGTTCATATATGTTTATTTTCAATATACATTATTCAGTACAACTGTACCTCCATCATATAATATATTTATTATAAGTTAAGCACAATATTTTCATTCGTTATCCGTTCAGCTCCATTCATTTCATTCAGTGATGATAATGCAAACTGACCGTCGGCGACCTTCAGCTGACCCCCTGTCAACCCACCGGATGTAACGGATATTACTCTAGCAACAGGCTGGTACGATGATGACATTAATGTAGTTTATCCAAAACTCACAGAAATCTCAACTGAATTTTATGAATATGATCTAAACTCCAAAACATGACCATAACATTACATCGCAATATACATATTATCCCCATGGCTACTTTTGGTTTTAAATATTTCTTCCTTCTTTAAAATTAAAATAAATAATACCATCTAGCACAGTGAAGCCAAATTATTGTGGTAGTATTTATTTAATCATATGTGTGCATATAATGCTCAATGTAAAAATTTAATATACAAATAAAAAGTTTAATTTATATGCCTTGTTAAGACAAAACGCCTACATTAATATTATTATTAGATATATATTATGAGAAGTATTTTATGGATAACTGAAGTTTCATAAGGTTTATATTTCTTATCTGTAACAACAAATTAATTATGAATTTCATTAATTTTGTAAAAAAAAAAATTTATTTGTGGTACTGAATTCCCACACTTGATTTTATTCATATATTTAGACATGATTAATGCATACAATATTATAGTTCTTAAAATTATGAAAGGAGAGTAAATTAGTGGGTGTTTGGAGATTTAAACCTCACTATTCCAAAAAAAAAAAAAGAGGGACATTGTGGCAGTGCTTGACTCATATTGCTCGGGCTCAAAACTCGGTCACGGGTGACTTTTGCCGAGCGAGAGATTAGTTCGGTAATTGGAGTCGCCATTCCTCTCTCCGGTGACGGATTAACCACCCGGAGTATCAATAGTTAAGAAAACCTCCCCTTTGGAGAAGTGTCGCTCTAGCCCTTAATGAGACTAAAAATAAAAAAAAACTATTTCAAAAAAAAAAAAAATGAACACATATCTTGACAAACTTATAAAAATATTAATAAAATTTTGAAAGAAAATATTTTAGAATAAAAAAGTAACTTAAAAACAAATACTCATAAAAAAATTGTTTAATTGTAACATGAGGTATGATCTTATAAGATATAAGGCCAAAAATACAGAATTCCATTTTGATATATTCTAGTTCACATTGCCAAGATAAGTATTAAAATCACCAATTATAAAATTTTACTGATAATAAAAAAAACTTTTTTTTACTTAATTTAACATTAAAAATGAACTAATAGAAAATTTCGATACTAGTGTTTAGTATTTGAACATAAATATTGACGTGTAATATGGAAAAAATCAAAATTAATTTTAAAAATTATTACTATTAACTTCATAAAAAATTACTATTTTCCAGGAAATATTAAGATTAAAATCACAATGAATTGTAATTCAAATATGGACTAAAGTGGACTGTTTAAATATATATATATATATGATCCTGAACACGAGTTAATTGTACTCAATTCTTTCCCTTATTTACATTAGTCCAACTTTAGTTGACTAATTTATTTTTAGCTTAACAGGAGAACAATAAACCATGTATGTAAATATTATAGATAATATATACACCGATATCAATTTGATCCGACTTAATTGCTTGTCCTTTCTTATTTGGTTATTATGTGATATTTTTTGGACTATTGTTATTATATTATTATATTATCTCATATAAATACAAATGTAGGAACTCGTGTGCTGCCGGTACGTGTTTAATTCGTTACGCTCGCAGAATAAATATAAAAATGTATTCAAAGAAAACAAGATAATGTCATCATTGACTTAGTTATATAAATACATTAAAAAAAAAATGGTTTATTTCATACGCAAAATTCCAAAAAGTTAGTTATTTTGAAATTTAGTTTTATCTTTCAAATTTTAGTGCAAAAAGGAATTTAAAAAACTTATATTTTAACTTTCAGATGTCAAATTATAAATCAAGAACTTGTTGTCGACTAATTTTACATTGTAAAATTCAATGACTAGTTATTTGTTTTTTTTTTACATCAAGTTTTAATAAGAATTCAAAACAACTCGTATGTTATTTCTGTGAGTTGTAAAATTTGTATGATTTATTCAGTTACTACGGTTATTTCCATGATAGGAACGCCTATTCGCTTTAAGAATCCGAGACTGGTCCAACAAAAACGATGAACTCAATTAATATAAACATACTTCTTTTGAATTTTATAATTACTGAAGTTGAAGAATATGACAGTTGTCGAATTTATAGTTTATGTTAATACTTACAATAAGCTTAAAACAACTGAAATAATATTTTCTTAAGTAATAAACTACACCTATTATTATCAAATTGTTTTGCTTTATTTTAATTTGTAGTTTGATTACACACAGTACTATTATTTATTATATTGCTTTTATAACTCAACAAAATTATTGACACATCAAAATTATAACTTACAATTTAACGGCCATAACTTTTTAAGAAACGTTTTAACTGACTTTATAGTTATTCGATGATTATTATTATTTATTTTTTTTATGAGTTTTACTTAGCTAAAACAGCTAAAGAATATTCTAGAACAAAACTTCTAATGATTGTTATTAAATGAAATTACGATTTTATTATGGGTTTACGAGGCTTCCAATAAACAGTATTAGATACCATTCAAATTATGAATGAACTTATTATTAACTATAATTAACCTAGAATCAAATAAATAATAACTATGAGAAGTATTCCAATCTAGATATAAATAATGTTACTCGTAAAACAAATAAAAATACATACGTTTAGTATAATAATACATTTTTGAGTTGAATACTGAGTACCACATTAACTAACAATGGTTATATTTTAGAATAGTTAATTTTATATTGTTTTGGATAACTACTAAGTATGAATTTAATGATGTAATATCTCTTTAATCCTAAAAAATTATATAATTTTTTAGGTAAAAACAATGTCATAATATTTGAGTTATATAACATATGTCTAATGTCATTCAAAGTATAATATATAATAAAACAATTAAAAGACTAATTTTGGTGTCAACTATACATTTTAAGTGACTTTAACGCCCTGATGTATATCTCCATGTGTTATAACAATATACGTAATTTAAAGATATTTACACTTGATAACGCCGATTTTTTTTTTGTGTAAAAAAAATCAACATTTGTACATTGTTTTTCTTAAAATTAATAAAAATTATACATTTTATTCATTTTCAGAAAATTTATTTTTTTTATAAATATTTTTTTCCAACTGCTATAAAACGGTACAATAATCAAACGAGTTAAAATTAAATACAATTTTTAAGACTTGTCTTTAATTACTATCAAGTGAATTTTATTTTAATTAATCAACAATATAATATATATGTATATGTTTATATATCATCTTAATGACTTTACAGCTTGAAAAAATTTACATCTCAAAAACCTTCGTTCAGTAGATTTTGCGTAGCATTTATTATACTGTTCTGTTTTTGTAAACTTAATAATGAAGTTAAAAAACCTGTGATATCTGTGTCGGGCATATTTGCAGGGAGCATTCTTTTTTATGGTTAATTAGTTTCTTAGTGTAGTCAATTACGTTTGGTACTTAATGTTGCTTTATGATTAATAGGATGAAACAACATACTTAAAATTTCACAGTGTTGCCACGCTTTATAATAGAACTGTAATCACCTCAGGTAACATGTTTGTGATGTCTAATTCATACATTCCAGAGTGTATATTTTTTTAGTTATTTGTATCATCGTAAATAGAATAATATTAATTATCTACTTATCTTATGTGTGTTGCCCTTGAACGAATTGAAATAAAATTTCATGCGGTAGCGAAAAATAGTTGACAAGGTCATTAAGAAAAATTACGTCATGATCCATTTACTAGATGTAATATTATTCCCACGGTCTGTGTTAATGTGAAAAATATTTTAGTTAAATGTTTTATTTATTAACATAAATTTATCATAATGATAATTTATTATTTAATTATCTGGTTTATCATTCAAAACGTACTAAAAAGTAAATTTGATTAAAATAACATAATATTAAAATATAAAAAAGATAATTAGTTAGTTTTATTATCTATTTAATTAAATAATTGAAAAAGATGTTTGTATGTTGTAAAGTAAAAATTATACATATTAATGAATAACTTAGGATGACTGTTTTAGGAAATATTACATAAGTTACAAATAAAAATCATGTTTATGTTTATTGTAGATAGGCATTTGAGTTAAAGTTATTTAACAGTATTTTTTAATAATTCTATAGACTTCAAAAATNAGTACATAAGTTACAAATGAAAATCATGTTTGTGTTTATTGTAGATAGGCATTTGAGTTAAAGTTATTTAACAGTATTTTTTAATAATTCTATAGACTTCAAAAATTATCTAGATAGAACTTGAAAATTAATAGCCATTATTCCTTTCTAATGAAACTAACTCAAAATGTAAGTTGAAATTTTTATTACATAAAGTAAAATGCAAACACTATTGTGCATAGAGTATACAGATATTTAGCTTCACCTGCCTTTTAACCTTTTAATACTAAATAATATTGAACTTCTTGTCACGTAAAATAGAAAATTAGATACACTCGACGCGTATATAGAAATGACCTGTTTAGTTGCATTTACTCCCTT